GGGGGTTGGACTAGATGATCTCCAGAGGTCCCTTCCAACCCTAACAATTCTGTGAATTCTGTGAATTCTGTGGATTTCCTTTGCTGCATCCCCAGCGCCGTGTGTCAGGGTTTGTGCTGGCGCTGGGACGAGTGCTGCCTGACCAGTGAGCTCATGCAGGGACATGACCGGTGCTGGAAACCCCTTCAGCTCTGACGGGAACATATAAAGCTCCAGGAAAGAGCTGAAACGCAGTGTCGAAGGTCCTTCCACCCCTCTCCAGTCCAAATGCGTCCTGGTGACAGTGTTCACACCGAATCTTGCTGGGGGAATTGGGATTCTGCGAGACTCAGCCCCCGGGCGAGGTTTGGGTGCTGCTTGCTTGCCAGCTGAGAAGCTTAACGCAGAGTTGCCGTTCTGCAGACAGGGCCTTTCAAATCACTTCATAGAATCACAGAATGGTTTAGGTTGGAAAGGACCTTGAAGATCATCCAGTTCCACCCCCTGCCATGGGCAGGGACACCTCCCACCAGCCCAGGTTGCCCCAAGCCCCGTCCAACCTGGCCTTGAACACCTCCAGGGATGGGGCCTCAACAACCTCTCTGGGCAACCTGTGCCAGTGCCTCACCACCCTCACTGGGCAAAACTTCTGCCTAATGTTTAATCTAACCCCGCCCTGTTCCAGTTTGAAGCCATTCCCCCTCGTCCTGTCACTCCATGCCCCAGTAAAAAGTCCCTCCCCAGCTCTCCTGTAGCCCCTTTAGGGACTGGAAGGCGGCAATAAGATCTCCCCAGAGCCTTCTCTTCTCCAGGCTGAACAGCCCCAACTCCCTCAGCCTCTCCTCACAGCAGAGGTGCTCCAGCCCTCGGATCATCCTCATGGCTCTCCTCTGGACACGCTCCAGCAGGTCCATGTCCTCCTGATGTTGGGGACTCCAGAGCTGGAGGCAGTCCTCCAGGTGGGGTCTCAGCAGAGTGGAGTAGAGGGGCAGAACCCCCTCCCTCCCCCTGCTGGCCACACTTCTGATGCAGCCCAGGACGCGGTTGGCCTTCTGGGCTGCGATCGCACATTACCGGCTCACGCTGAGCTTCTGGTCACTCAGCCCCCCCAGGGCCTTCTCCTCAGGGCTGCTCTCCAGCCATTCCCCACCCAGCCTGGAGTTGTGCTTGGGTTCGCCCCCACCCAGCTGTAGGCCCTGCACTTGGCCTTGTTGAACTGCGTGAGGTTGGCACGGGCCCACCTCTCCAGCCTGTCCCGGTCCCTCTGGATGGCATCCCTCCCCTCCAGCGTGTCTCCCTCGCCACGCAGCTTGGTGTCGTCGGCAAACTTGCCGAGGGTGCACTCGACCCCACTGTCCACGTCCGCGACAAAGGTGTTGAACAGTGCAGGTGCCAGTGCCGACCTTAGCCCGCTTCCTTCTGTCCCCTAAACCTGTCACACGGAGGGTGTCCTTAACGCCCTGCGTCCAGTTCAGCTCACGTTAAGCACGGATTATGGCAGCTCATCATCTCTCATTGCCAATAACGGCAACTCCTGTCGCTCTCGGTTGCTCCTGTCAGGCAAAAAAACTTTGCTGCCCGTAACACTCGGGAGAAACTTCCAGCCATGGCAGCAAAGCGAGTCCCCAATCTTTTTCCTGTGATTCTTTCCGAAAATATTTCTGGTGGTGGTTTGTTGCTGGTGTGCGCATGCCATCCCCCACCCTGCAGGCTGGTGGGATTTTGGACTCCTTTCTCTGTGCTGTTTCTGCCATGCACTGGGATCGCTCCCCTGTGCCCAGAGACGCCTGGCTGGGTTGGGGACGGGGGACTGAAACCAATTTGGCTGGCGGGCGTAGCGCGGGGCGGCGGGCAGAGCCTTGGCTGCGGTAAATCACGGGAGTGTGAGGGGAAGGGTGCTTGCGGCTGGGGGAGGAGCAGGGGGACGCTGCAGCTCTGCCCGCGCTGCCTGGAGGGTCGGAGGACAGCTCTGGGCTGTGGCGTCACAGTAGACGCGTCAAGGCTTTGTCGTTTAAAGCTTCTGAATCCAGTGCTTTCCTTCTTAAAGTTCTCAAAGAGCAATCCTGGGGGCCTCACGGGGTGGCTTTGCAGCTGACTCCGCCGCTGCTGTTGGCACTGATCGGCTCTCGCCAGGAGGTAAAGGAGCCGGGTGCCGTGTCCGTGTTACGGGTGGTGAACGGGCAGCGTAGACACAGCACAGCTGTGCTCCTGTGGGGCATAAACCAGCGTCTGCACTGTTTGAAGCGGTGAAGTAGAGAAATTATCCATTCTGGGCTGGTACTGCTGCTTCCGAACTTCAGCTGCTGATTTCTTTGGTGTTTTGTTTGTTTTTTGTTTGTTTTTTTTTTTTCTCCTCAGGTCGATCTTTCACACTTGTCCCCAGAGGAGAGATGGAGGTGAGTCTGTGTTGGGAGGTGAGCCAGCGCTTGCGGCTTGAGCGAGCTCCTGCTCCTGACCGGAGCTACCTGCAGCACAGCCCGCATTCGCGGCGGGAGAGGACAGGGTCAGCCTTCCCCGCACAGCGTTATTTGTTACGGGGAACTATGAACTGTCTTAAAAGGCAATGCTAATGGTTTTTTCTTTTAAAGTGCTTCCTGAATATTCCCCCTTTTCGCTTAGCCAAACCAATTTCAGCCAGCCACTTGTTGAAAAGCACAGTAAGACTGGTCTGCTCTCGGTACCAGTTTATAGAGGGCTTCTTAAGATCAGAGAATTTGAGATTTCTTGGGTTTGGATATTTGTTGCCCCTAACTTGAACTGTCTTGTCAGCTCAAGACCGAGATGTAAGGACGTTCGAGGTCTTAATTCTGCCTTGGTTTGGGGTCAGACAGCACAAGCTGCAGAGAAACCCCAGGTGTCTGTAGAGCATCCGTCTGGGAACCACTTGTTCCAGGATGCAAATGGGGTTGCCTAGGGCAGAGAGAGAAGCGTTTTCACAGAACCACAGAATCTTCAGAGCTGGAAGGGACCTCCAGAGCTCACCCACCCCACTCCCCTGCTAAAGCAGGACTGCCCAGAGCACATCCCTCAGGACTGCATCCAGGCGGGTTTGGGAAACCTCCAGAGAAGGGACTCCCCCCCCTCCCTGGGCAGCCTGTGCCACTGCTCTGTCACCCCAACCGTAAAGAAGTTCTTCCGTGTGTTGGACGGAACTTCCTCTGTTCCAACTTGTGCCCATCGCCCCTCGTCCTGTCCCCGGGAACCACCGAGAAGAGTGTGGCTCCATCCTCCTCCAACCCACCCCTTAGATACGTGTATGCCATAATAAGGTCTCCCCTCAGCCTTCTCCTCTCCAGGCTAAAGAGTCCCAGCGCTCTCAGCCTTTCCTCGTACGGGAGATGCTCCAGTCCCTCAGTCATCTTGGTTGCCCTTCGCTGGACTCTCTCCAGCAGTTCCCTGTCCCTCTTGAACTGGGGAGCCCCAAACTGGACACAGTATTCCAGTTGTGGCCTCACCAGTGCCGAGCAGAGGGGGAGAATGACCTCCCTCGACCTGCTGGTCACACTCTTCCCTCTGCAGCCCAGGATTCCATTGGCCTTTTTGGTGCCAAGGGCACACTGCTGGCTCATGGACAATTTACTACCTACTACCTACCAGGACCCTCAGAACTACAGTTTTGCTGGGGTTTGTGGGTTTTGCCAGCTGTAGACCGTGCCCCCGCTGCCCATCCAGCCTTTCCCGTGCAGGGCGAGAGGGAGGAGGGTGCTGGTGGCTCTGAAACCGGGCTGAGGGTTTGGTATTGAGAGGTGGTGCACACTCGTGGTGTCAAACACGCTCAGCTGATGCTGTTGCACCGGTGAGCTGCCGGGTGAGTTACGTGACACGGGCACTCCATATTCGTTGGTTCGGGTACATCAGCGTCAGTTCTCTCTGCCTCGTTCACACCGGGACGGGCTGGGTGGCGGTCTTGGCTTTCACAGTTTAAAACCGCGCAAGTCTCCTAGAGGCCTTTTGTCCTTTCCCCTCTGGATTGCGACAGAGCACCCGCCTCCACGCCGCTCCTTCACGGGGGTCTCTGGGTCTGCTCTTCCTGGCTCCCCCGTGCCGAGGCGTCTGTCAGTGCTGTTAGCGTGCAGTCTGTGCCCGCGCGCTCTTCAGCCGCCTTTTCCCTGTTGTTGCAGGGTGGAGCACGCACGGATGCATGCCAAGCACCGCGGTCACGAGGCGATGCATGCCGAAATGGTCCTCATCCTTATCGCCACGCTGGTGGTGGCACAGCTCCTGTTGGTTCAGTGGAAACAGAGGCACCCTCGCTCCTACAACGTAAGTGTCTCCCACGCAGCCCTTTTGTCTCCGTGGCTGGATGTGAGTGCTGCCGTCCTTTCGCTGATGAGAAGTATCTTCCTGTTTTTCTCCTCTTGTCTGGTGTTGAGATACCCTCATCTTCCCAACAGCGTGTGGGGATTCTAGCTAGGGATGAGGATGGACGCACCCGGAGGCGTTAAGTTTCTGCTATAAGTGATGCCGATAACTCGGTTTTACGTTTTCTTTGATACCAGGCGACGGGAAAAGCAGATCTCAGGTCTGCTGAGTGGACCTGCTGATGCCACCGGCTTGGCGGGGACTGTTGTTTCACCCCAACCAACCTCACTCTGACTTCCTTATCATAATTAACGTTTCCAGGCAATACCTGTAATCCTCCGTGAACTTTAAACCGACCCTGTGTACCTGTTCCCCTCCGGCAGCACCACAGGAGCTCAGCTGCACGGCCGTAGATCCCTTTTGGCAATAGGCTGTAGGGCGGAGGCGAGTCTGACACCCTCTGCTGCGCCTGTCTCCTTGTTTAATACTTGCCTGAGGTGTCTGTGGTTGCGGTGTTCAGGACCACGAAGGTTTTTGTAGCCACCTTACGACAACCCAGCTAGGTGGATCATCTCCCGTACCTCCCTCTGGAGATGTTTCCTCTGCGTTCTCCCTCCAGCTCTAGTCTTTTCCTACCAAAGACCGCCTGGCTGCTGCCTCCGACTCCCTCGGCAGGCTCTGAGCCTGTTCTCTGGGTGCTGCAGAGCAAACCGCTCGGGTTTCCTGCTGCTATTCAGGGCCCTTTGATGCAGGCAGGAGCGCGGCTGCCAGGCCTGGCAGGGTGTTTCTGATGTCTGATGAGCAGAGAACCAGCTCAAAACGCCTTTCCCTCGGTTCCTGCAGATGGTGACCCTCTTCCAGATGTGGGTAGTGCCTCTGTATTTCACGATCAAGCTGTACTGGTGGCGGTTCCTGGTAATCTGGGTGCTCTTCTCAGCAGTCACAGCTTTTGTCACCTTCAGGGCAACTCGAAAACCTCTGGTACAGACAACGCCCAGGTTAGTACACGTGTTTCTGGGAAAACTCCTCAGCCCCAGGGTAACCGTGACGGGGAACTCTTTCCAGTTTCGCTGCCGCAGATCATCATCTTCAACTTTGCACCCCTGGGGGTGTGCAACCCCCGTGCGCGCTGCCCGCGTCGGTGGCTGCGGAGCACTGTCTGCGGGCAGCTGGCCCGGTGCACGTGGCACCCGCGTGGGTGGTGGAGAGGCAGATAGCCCGTGGGCTGGTGGCCTCACCGAGGGCATTCCCGGCGTGAAGCACGCTTGCTCGCCGCCTTTGCAGATCCGGAGGTTTCTAGTTTGGAAGTCGAGCCCTTGGGTGGCCCAGGGCAGCGGGGGGGGCTGTAGCTTGAATTAGACATTTAAAACGCCATCGCCCGTGCGTAGGGGTAGGGGAAGCGTCTGCAAACAGCACCCAGGTTTTAAAAGTAAAATCCTTTAGGTGCTTGGTGCGGTTTCATCCAGGAAAAATGAAGCCGTTAAATTCTTGTTTCGATTCTTTACAGGCTGGTTTATAAATGGTTTCTACTAATATACAAGATCAGCTATGCCACTGGAATCGTGGGGTACATGGCTGTGATGTTTACACTCTTTGGTCTTAACTTATTATTCAGGTGAGTGAATCTTCCCATCTGACTCGCGGGGCGGGGGATGTAAGGCACCACGTGGAGTAAGGCGTTGCCTACGACTCTGGAATAACAGTTGTCTTAGCAATCTGTTTAACGGGGCCAAACAGACTGTTTGGGGTGTTTCCTCCCCACCGGGAGGATCACGGGTGAGATGCTGGTACCTGAGCCGGTCGATGTTGCTGGGGAGCTCTGCTTCCGGCGCAGCTGTGTCGGCAGCTCCTCCAGCTCTGCCTGTGTCCAGCCTGGGGATTTTCTCTGCTGCACTGAGAAACGGGTACCTGCAGCAAGCAGGCAGCCCCGGTGTGGTCGCAGAGGACCCTAGCCCGAGCCATCTTCGTGTTTAGAGAGGTTGAATCCTTCTCTAGAATGATGAGCAGACCTCGCAACTGCCTGGAGAGACGTGGAAGTGTTAAGTGGGGACTTACCGGGAGCTGATCTGGGGTCTGAGGCAGTTGGGGAGATGACAGCAGCTGCTTATTCCAGAGGCTGGTGAGGGCGATGGGCACTGGGTATTACACAGCTGCGGTGTGACACCCACAGCTCCACTCAGACGCTGCTGCTTGCGCAGGTTGCCCAGAGAGGTGGGACATGCCCCATCCCTGGAGGTGTTCAAGGCCAGGTTGGACGGGGCTTGGAGCAACCTGGGCTGGGGGGAGGTGGCCCTGCCCAGGGCAGGGGGTGGCACTGGATGGACTTTAATGGTCCCTTCCCACCCAAACCATTCTGTGACTCAATGATACAATGGAAGGCTGAGGGACTTGGGTCTTTTTAGTCTAGAGAAAAGAAGACTGAGGGAGGATCTCATCAACGCTGATCAATCCTTCAAGGGAGGTGCCGGGGGATGGGGACAGTCTGTTTCCAGTGGTGCCCAGTGAGAGGACAAGAGGGACCGGGCACAAAGGTGACCATGGGCAGTTCCATCTCCACCTGAGGAGGGCCTTCTCTGCTGTGAGGGCGGCAGAGCAGTGGCAGAGGCTGCCCAGAGAGGTGGGGGAGTCTCCCCCTCTGGAGCCATCCCAAACCCGCCTGGACGCCGTCCTGTGCCACTGCTGGAGGTGCCCCTGCTCTGGCAGGGGGTGGGATGGGGGAGCTCCAGAGGGCCCTTCCAGCCCCCACCAGTCTGGGATTCTACAGTGAAGCATCCTGGAAGCAGGGACCAGGTTGTGCTGGGCAGGCATCTAGAAGACCTCTGCGGGTGATGCTTCCTGGTGCCGCGTGTCCGCTGCCTTGGTGAACTGCTGTCACGCTGGAGTTAGTGCTGTGGGCTGTATCAGCACACTGCCTTTGCACCCCCACAGCCTCCCCGAAAATGTCCTGATGTCGTTTGGTCTCCTCTGTTGCAGAATCAAACCAGAAGACGCGATGGACTTTGGCATCTCCCTCCTCTTCTACGGTCTTTACTACGGGGTACTGGAGCGGGACTTTGCCGAGATGTGTGCGGATTACATGGCTTCGACGATCGGGGTGAGTTAACGCCGTGCTGTCCCCTAGGCGAGAGTCCTGCCCTGCTATGGGGGGGCCTGAAACGTCTCAGTCGCAGCAGTAGCTTTTGCCTCCCCCAAAGGGGAAAGTGGATCAAACTCCTCCTTCAGGAAGGGCTGCTGCCTTTCTTGCTGAGACCACTACCGGGTGTCTGGGCTGGGAGATTTCTGACCTAATGGAGTTACTCCGAGATCCTTCCTTAACCGCAAATCCTCTGCAGGTGTCCCCTCCTCCCCAGAAGCACAACAAATGAGGAGTGGAAGGATTTGTTCAGCCCCCCTAAACTCCCGACAAATATTTCTCTGTCTGGGCCTTTAAAATCTCCAGTGCCGGAGAGAGCTCCTGTTCCTGGGACCACACTGCGGCTGCATTAACCCGTGACCTGCAGCCACCAGGGATGGCTTCACACCACGAGCTTCCTTCTGCTGCTCGTACCCACGGCAGCTTGTGCTGTCCCTGCGGACAGAGGATGTGTTCCTGCAGTGGGGGCCTAAAATCTGTAGCCCGCTCACCCGGTACCAAAAAAACCCACTCCACCAAAAAATACCTGACCTAGGGCACCGGTGGAGCAGGTCCTGTTGCTTCCCTCTTTAGGGACCTTGTGTTTCCTCCTCCTCTTCCTCTCTGAGCTTGCTGCTGCTGCTCCTTGGAGGTGCTGCCCCAGCCCCTGGCCAGTTCTGTCGGACGCTCGGAGCGAAGCTGTGCCAGGTCTCTGCCGGAGGTGTGTTTTGCTGACGATGCTGAACTAGGATAGAATAGGGCAGAACAGTATAGTTTTGAGTGGGAAAGGACTGTTAAAGCCCACCCAGGGCCACCCCCTGCCCTGGGCAGGGCCACCTCCCCCCAGCCCAGGTTGCCCCAAGCCCCGTCCAACCTGGCCTTGAACACCTCCAGGGATGGGGCAGCCACAGCTCCTCGGGGCAACCTGCCCCAGGGGATCACCGCCCGCACAGCCAACAATTTCCTCCTCACATCTCACCTCAATCTCCCCTATTTCAGTGTAAAACCATTCCGTCTCGTCCCACGGCTCCCCTCCCTGACCCAGAGTCCCTCCCCAGCCTTCCTGGAGCCCCCCAGGAGGAGCTGTGGACTCCCCCAAGGGTATAAGTGGCTTGCAGAGCACCAACCCTGTGAAATAGAAGAAGAGCAAGTCCCAGATTCTCCACCTGGGATGGGGTAATCCTGCTTATACGTACAAACTGGGGGACGAGGGGCTGGAGAGCAGCCCCGTGGAGAGAGATCTGGGGGTTTGGGTTGATGGCAAGTTGAATTTGAGTCAACAGTGTGCCCTGGCGGCCCAAAGGAGCAGCCGTGTCGTGGGGTGCATCGAGCACAGCATCGCGAGCTGGTTGAGGGAGGCGATTGTCCCACTGACACCGCACTGGTGTGGCCCCACCTTGAGTTCTGTGTGCGGTTTTGGGTGCCTCAATATGTGAAGGACATCAGACTATTAGTGTGCGTCCAGAGGAGGGCGACCAAGATGGAGGGCAAGACTTACGAGGAGCAGCTGAGGTCACTCGGCGTGTTCAGCTTGGAGGAGAGAAGGCTGAGGGGGACCTCGTGGCAGTCTACAGCTTCCTCAAGGCGGGCAGCGGAGGGGGAGTGCTGATCTCCTCTCACTGGTGACCAGCGACAGGACACGAGGAGATGGAGTCAAGCTGTGTCAGGGGAAGTCCAGGTTGGACGTGAGGAAAAGGCTCCTCACCGAGAGGGTGGTCGGTCCCTGGAAGAGGCTCCCCAGGGAAGCGGTGGCAGCACCGAGCCTGTCGGAGTTCAAGGAGCGTCTGGATGATGCTCTTTGTCGTCGGGTTTAGTGTTAGGCAGTCCTGTGAGGAGCAGGGAGCTGGACTCGGCCATCCTTACGTGTCCCTTCCAACTTGAGATATTCTGTGATTCCACGGCTCCAGCCTGGTCGTGGGAGCTGGGACGCGGCACGAGTGAGCCGGGCCGTCCCTGGAGCGTGTGGGACCACTGCTGCGCTTGGGGAGACCCGGTTGCGTGCCCGCACCCTCCTTCGGGCTGCATGG